ACCACATCGAACGAGACACCATCTCCAAAGATGCCTTTCATGCTGCACTAAAAACGTACCGCGACTGCGTGTCCCAGGCTCGTTGCTATAACCAAGGCTCGACTTTTGACTTCCAAATCCAAAATGCTGAGGCGTCTTCCAGGTACTTCTTCCGTCCGCGACCCATCACTCCAGCGGGTGAGTATTAAAGAAGTTCGAACCCCAGAAGGCAATATCTCGCGAAACCCAGCTGATATCTCAGCAAGTTTTTCAAGCCCATTGGGGAGCTATCATGGGTAATACTGACAGTTGTATAGGACCACCTCCAATTGCAAATCCTGACAATCAACGAGAGCTGCTGGACACGATTGAGAAGCGTCTAACACCAGACGATCAAACTTAGTTAAATACCATAGTTAGATAACACAATTTCTGGAGCTGAGCCCACCAACGCGCTCAAGCACATGAAAAACCAATTCCGCGCCCGGCATGGACAGCGGGCTTCTACCAGGTCGCAGCTGAGGACTTTGGGAAATGCCTGAGTACAGTTTTCAACTACCAACTATCGCGCGGTGAGCTCCTCCCTTCCCAACGCAAGTCAGCTGTGTGCATGTTACACAAGAAAGGCTCCCGAGATGATCATGGCAACTTCCGACCAATCTCATTAGCGTTAATGTAAAGAACCTGTCAAAGGTGCTGACCGATCGCCTTTAAGCCTTTTTTTCTCAGCTTATTCCTGGCGATCAGAAGGTTTCGTGAAAGCTCGGTCTATTGCTCATCACGTGCGCTTCATGGTGGATCTGCAGGATCTCGTAACTGCTCGCAAAGAGGAAACCTATGCCATGTTTATCGACTTCCAGAAGACATACGACCGGGTCAACCGGGACTATATGTTCCAGGTGCTTGACCGTATGGGCTATGGCGGCGCTATCACGGATTGGGTGAAGCTTCTTTACACGAATCCGCAGGCACACCTCTTGCTCAACGGTCACATCCAATCGCCGATATTTCCCACACAGGGAGTTAAACAAGGTGACCCGCTTTCAGCGCTACTGTTTCTTATGGTTATCGAACCGCTGGAAAATCTGCTCCGGCGATGCGATGAGCTCGGTGTTTGCATCACCGAAGATCACATCACCATCAGCGTCTTTTTTGCCGATGATTCAACGCTGCTTTCCAGCCCGATATTCGACCTGGGTGCAGCTGTACTGCGACGGCTCTGGGGTCAAGCTTAATCATAACAAATGTGTGTTTAAGCCTCGAACCCGCCAAGCACCCCTGGCGTCAGGACGCTTCGGCGTTAGGAGACGGTCAAGTTCCTGGGCATCCTTTTCGGTCAAGATCCAGTCGAATACGCCATTGTGGAGTTCTTAGATCGGTGTTTTTAAGAGGGATTTCTCCAATGGTTCCGTCGTAGTCTGAGAGGATTTTTGCTGATTGCGCTGACCATGGTTCTTTCCCGGCGGTGCAACCAGTAGGGCACCCCGAGCCTCTGAGGTTTTGTCGTTTGCCCGCGACAAACTAGATGACCGATGAGATGCGGGACGGTGATTCGATGAACCTTGACGCGCCTTACGCAAGTGACAACCAATTTGAATGAGACGGGAGTCTTTACAGACAAAACACTGTCGTGTGTTCGAACGCTGCTCGGCATCTCGAAGCCCTCTTTCTCAGTATAGCTGAGTTCCATCGGCTCAGGCCCGTTCGACGAGCTACTAGGGTGTGCATTTTAAACAAGTCGTGCCGACTTAAAGTTGAGTTTGGCATTCAATGCCACATTCACCGCTTCTTCAAAAGAAGACGGATGCACACGGAAGCATCCATTTTTGGCCACACCAGCGCGGAGGCCCTCCATAAAGACGGTCACTGTGACCGCCTCAAGAAAAGGTTCAGCTGCCAAACCGGCAATGAGAGTACGCAACACTTGGACAAAGTCCACCGATTCTTTCTTGCCCTATTGGGCGGCAAGAAAACGCGATCGCGTCCGATATACCTGGTTAGGCGGCGAGAACACTCGTGGAAGCTGACGCTTCAGCTTTGTCAAGGAGGGAAACGCCGATTCGACCGAAGTGCCGCACGTC